AGTGACTGTGTGTGTATGTATGAGCAGCAGGAATGCTTCATATTTGAACAAAATAATTATCTGCTCTACACTGATGAATCAAATGACTGACACACACAATAACACACATGCACGCACATGCTGTCAAGTCCTTTTTCTTCTGCCCACCCAAGTTATTCCTCGGTATGACCCGAGAGCTGACAGTTCACCGTGCAACATATTTTTCACAATCGCTGGCAGTTAGCAATTAAGCTGGCAGACAGAAAACACACAGTCAACATTCATAAACTCAAACACAACCTCTCATACACAAATAACAACACAAGCAGAAACAAAGATAAAAGCAGTTACAGTCTTTGCCAAGAGGCTGACAGACAATAACAAACGTTATTGATTGTACCTCTCGTATTCAAAACTTAACAAGGTGAAACACATCAGTTAGCATTAGTTATTGGTAATTTAAGCTTTTAAAAGTAAAAGTTTATAAAGAAGGAAGAAAAAGAAAAAAGCAATGCACAATTCAATATCTTTTTTTTATAATTGAAACATATTATTGATGAAAGAAGTCATCTGGAATAATAATCTAACAGATGAAGTGTGACTGCAACAATAAAGAGCACACCTAAAGAGCGACACAGGAATGAAAAGTAACAAGACAAAGTTTGCAAGGAGACAGTTGTTACTCATTTGGATCTACTCTCTAATAAAAACAATCAAACAAGACCAATAAAGCAATGTATGAAACGTATGAATCAGATTACATATTTGGCACAATTTAACTTAGATAAACAGAGAGGGACCAAGTCAAAGTACATTTCAAGTCTTAATAGTCAAGTTTACAGTCAAATCACAGAGAAATATTTTAATTTCTCTACAATTCCTACAAAGTTAAGTTAAAAACTTCTTATGAAATTTGAACAAGACTTAACAGTATTAAGAAAAAAGCATTTGAATTTAAATGAAGAGTGCTTAAATGCTCAAAGGAGTAATAAACCTATTTAAAAAGAATTCTTAAAAAAAAAACTTTATATATATATATATATATATATATATATATATATATATATATATATATATATATATATATATATAAGGTATATATAAGGTATATAATGAGTGAACATGTGGAGCAGGAAAAAAAAACATTAGTTCTCTTTTAAGCTTAGGTTTAAAATTTAAACACAAAATTTTAAATAAAATTATTCAATTTGACAGTGAGTAGTACATGAAAAGTTTCCATTATGGAACAGCGACATCAACATAATAACTATGAATATTTCTGATTAAACAATAGTCTTCCACTTTTATAGACACGTCATGAGATGCAGCCCTCTTACCAGTGTAAACTGGTACATGCTGATATAAATCAGATTAAAGACTTCATTAGAGGCTCATAGCTACCTGTATGACATAAATCTGCACAGTAATACAATAAAATTACGTCAGTGCCTGCCACAAGCCCTTGGCCACCCTGCGAATAGCCATTTCTCTCCGCCAAGGTCAGAAAGACACAGTGGGGAGAACAAAAAGTCATTTTCTCTTCTCTCTTCAGACTGCCTTTTATATTTTCTGTGGTCTTTCTTCAATTATATCTCACAACTTCCCAGCCCAGTCTTTTAGAGCTCAGAGGTGAACAGACTCCATTTCTATCCATCTTTAGAAAAAAAAAAACATGGGTTTCACATGTCAAGTACCAGCTTGAAAATCAGTCGATTTTACTTCTTTCTTCTTTATCATGCCTCCACATGTAAAGCAGCTGGCAAAACATTCGATTTGCTTTGATTTCTGTCTCCTCTCTGATATCATTTAGTTTCCAGTGTACTCAAGGACATTTCACTCTTCTTTTGACTTATCTCTCTGCTGTCCCCAGTTTCAAACTTTGGATTTTAGAGAAGTTGAAATAAAGAAAACAATAAAAGAAGGAGAAACTAATGGAAAAAGTGAAGTGCAGAGAAGAACCAGGTATAAAGAGGGTAAAGATCCCAGTACCGTGGTAAATAACAAATGAAGACAAGTTGAGAGAAAGAAAAGGAATGGATGGTGCTGTACAAACGAGTTAAGAAAATGACCATAGCAGCAAAATACGATGAATTTATCACAATATTATCATGACATCTTTTAGGTAACAAAACTAAACCACATTTTTATATGAACAGGTCCACTTTCCGCATTAAAACTTGTATTCAGGATATTTTTCACAAATACTTTTATCAAAAGCAAAAGAGAACTGACAATTCAGCATCTAATGGTTTTATCTATTTTGCTAAAAAACATTATTAGAAAAGTGTGTAACCATTTTGCTTGAAAAGGAGTAAGTCCGCATCAAAGAGGCAGGCTGGGTTTCGATCTGAGAAAATCAATGCAATTACATTTTGTTTAGCTGCCTTTTGTTGTCAGAATTTCCAATTATGACCAAAAAGCTACAAATATCCAGCTCAATGAATCACATTTTCAATTTAATTAATTGTTAACACCAATAATCCAGTATATATATATATGTTTTATATATCAGTATATGAAATGTTTAATGAGTACAGGAAATGTAAAATCAATAAGGCTAATTTGTTTGATTCAAAGTACTTTTTAACCATGACAACCTTATAACAAAATATTATATAAATTACGGTAACTAAAAAAAACCTGCAGGACAGCGACCCTCGAGGACTGACTCACGTCAGATCAGGTCAGGTCAGGATCTATGATTTTAATTTTTTTTCTCATGCACTATAAGCTGATTGTATTCAGTTAAGTGGATACTAAATGTGGTTAAAGATATTATAAAATAGAGGATCTGTCTTTTATTTATTGTTGTCCTGGAGCTGCAGAAGAAGGCGGATAGGAAATCTGAGCCTGCTGTGCTCTGCTGCAGCCTTCGCATGACCTGCATGACACGCACATCTTGGCCAGACCTGACCTGGGCCAGTCTGTGTACCCTTGCACCGATTGTGCATGCCAGAAAAAAAAAAGGTTTAAAGTCCCTCAATCCGCACACAGATCCGTGCTGCATGAACTTACTGCGTCTAGTCGCAGTAACACCTTTAATAAGATATTAATTTACATTGGGGTTTTTCTTTAGGCTCGGGCCCACAAATCAAATCTGTTGGTCGGGCTAAGGTAGGACGTTATTCCCCCGGAGCTTCGCAGAAATTGAGTGGTGCTATAAAAAAAACCTTACAATTGAGTCAAATTTCACATCTTTATAGTCACATCACTTAATGCAGACACCTTACCCAGCTGGAGATACGGTTCAGTTGAAACCAAAAGTTAAAATTGTAATGTCCCTTACTGTGATAATAGAATAGTATAAAATAAAATGGAACAGAAATACAATTAATTGTTCATGAGTTGTGATATTCATGTAGCAGCAGAGAAGCATGGAGGAAATGGAAGCACGGTCAAATAATCCACATTCTCTGAGAAAATGAAAGAATGTGGATCTCACTGTGATACCAAGCTTCTCCACATGGGCCAGAGCTTGTTACAGTGGGTAGATGATCGTATGATCCACTTCAGTACTACGTACCACACAATGGTGCCATACAGTACAGTAGGTGGTACTTTCCTCAGCTTTAGGCTCGTGTTAAACAAGTATCCCATGATGCCACGCAGTTTATATGTGTAAGACTTTAGGGCCTGAAGCTGATGCCCTTCAAACTCATTTCCTTTCACACCTTGATCTTTGGCAGCTTGTTCCTCAACTGAAGTGTTGTGAGTGAAGAGGTGATGTTGGGGACAGAGGGCTGTAGGATGGAGGTTTTTATAACAGAGGAAGTGGATTGTGGCATAAAGCTGAGATATGAAGTCCAAGAATAAATTAGGCAATTGTTGAAGATAATAGGGTTCCAGTTTTCCTTCAGCGTGAGAGTTTGTTCTTCCAGAGCACCGTTTCTGTATTTAATTATTTGAGCTTATACCTATCTGTATGCTTAGAGGCACTCAAAAAAACAACAACACGTGTATTCCCTGACTGTTAGTTGAGTTCTTTAAAATTAATTGTATGTGATTGTGAAATTTTATATAAATAATAAATCTGGTCCTTCTGAATCTTTAGTCACTTTGAATTACCACATTATTGGTCTCAGCATGCATGGATGCTTTAGTGTGAGTGCATCAAAAATGTGAGCACAGATCAAAGATATAACAAAACTTGATGTTCACAAAAACTTCCTCAAATCCAAAATCCTTTAACCAACTTATATGGGTCTAGCTGCACACCAGAATTTAACCATGACTTCACAAGCCATAATAGATGGCAATATAGATACAAAAGCTAAACCAGACATTGAGAAGGTTATTCATCTTCTTTAAAACTTAAACTGTCAAAATATTTCCCAGTAGATTCCAATAGATTGTTTTCTCCCCATGTTTCCAACTTGCCAGTACAATACAGACTCTCGTGCGACAGAGTGGTACAACAGGCAAACAAATACTGTACATACAAATATGTCCATTGTCTAAACCTGCTTCTCCATGCAAGGCCGCAGGGTGACATAAAAATCCAATGTAATATACATTAAACAGCCAGGAAAGTCCATAAAAACAGTGGAAAATCTATTTTGGAGATCTGCAGATTGCCGATTTAGATGCCTAGTTCTACTGTAACAGCTCCCACAATCACTCGTTATAATGCACCTTGCTTACATGCTGCAAATAATAACATTTTGAATCATTTTCATGTGCTGTTGCAGAGGGGCTAATTGTTCAAATGGACAGTGTTATGCGACTGTTTTGCAAAGCTGGTCTTTGGAGAGCTATGTCGGTGCATCCTTATCTCTTAAAATATCTAGCTTTCATTATTTTATTGCAGCACAATTCTGTATTTTATGCAGTATTCACACATTGCAATTCAGAGCTTTGCGGCAGCTCTACAGAAAACAAATCCATCAAAAGTACAAATAAAATCACTAATAAAAACATTGAAGAACTGATGTCACTTTATACTTTTACTGAAAGTAAACTATTTGACACATGAGTGTGAGAGACGGATGTCCAGTAAATTTTAGATTTTTAAATTGGCTTACCTTTTCAGAGTCCATAGCAGTGATCACCCACACACAGTGTGCATTGTTCTCATACTGAACAGGGTAGTTAGGTGATGTTATCACCCCTTTGGGCCCTCTCAGATTACTGCCACAGGTACGAGCTATAAGAGAAGATTTGGGACAAAGGTGAAATTTTACAGTCTTCTTAAAGTTACCCTTTTGGTTAAAAAGTCTGGAAAAAAGATGTTGAACGATGGAGGCAACAATAAAAAAAGGAGGCTAGCCACAAAAAAAAAATCTTGTAAAGTTTAGAAATAGTATAGAAATAAAAACCTGTCAATGGTCAGAACATTTTTTATCTACCACAGTAAAAAAAAGCATCATTGCTGTACTTGTAGCTGCCCTCTGTAGCTAAAAGGGGTCCAGCACATTGTCAAAATGGGTTAATCTGATATTTTGCACAAGTGGAAATATGAACAGCCCATCCCAATTTGAAAAAAAACATTAATAGAACTAAGGAATAGGAATAGGCTGAGTTAGCAAGGATCTTTAAGAGAAAGAAGAAACAGGTGAATGTAGCAGGAATACCCTGCAGGAATAATAAGCTGGTCAAAGGAGGAGGTACAGGCCACAGATGTTAAGACACGAAAGCTCCTAACCATGCACGGAAGGTACCACCCCAAAACCAGCACCCTGAGACTGTACGCCAGCCGTAAGGACGGAGGCCGAGGACTAATGAACATAAGAGCCACTATCCAGGATGAAACATCCAAGTTCCATATGTACATCAAGGACAAGGCTCCAACAGATGACATGCTCAGTGAACGTCTCAGACAATTTGGAACAGAACTGCACCATAACACACACCAACATAATCGAAGTGGCAGATATCAGGAATTCCTACTAATGGCTCGACAAAGCCAGACTGAAGGACAGCACAGAGGCACTCAACATGGCTGCACACGAGTGGGCCCTAAGCACCAGAGCAATAGAGGCCAAGATCTACCACACCAGACAAGACCCCAGCTGCAGACTGTGCAAAGAGGTCCCTGAGACAATCCAGCACATAACTGCAGGGTGTAAGATGCTGGCAGGGAAAGCTTACATGGAGCGCCATGACCAAGTGGCTGGAATAGTATACAGGAACATCTGTGCAAAGTATGGTCTGGAAACACCAAGGTCAAAGTGGGAAACACCTCAAAAGATGGCAGAGAATGACCAAGTCAAAGTCCCGTGAGACTTCCAGATACAGACAGACCGAGAGAAAAGACATTGTGGTGAAATAGCAATACCAAGTGACTGCAACGTCAGGAACAAAATAACATGGAAAAACTAGTGAAATACCAGGTTCTCAGAGAAGAGCTGGAGAAAACCTGGAAGGTCAAGGCATCAAACTTAAAGAGCGTTTACAGCAGATCCCTGGAAATACATCAGACATCTCAGTCTAGAAGAGTGCAGTTCTAGGAACAGCAAAGATACTGCACAGAACCCTCAAGTTCCAAGGCCTCTGGTAGAGGACTCAAACTCTTTATATATATATATATATATATATATATATATATATATATATATATATATATATATATATATATATATATATATGTGAGATGGAGCTCCAAAGTTGCTCTATGACAGAGCTGAGAAAAGGCTTAAGTTCCATGTAGCAATCTTTAGATTTGAGCCAAAAAATGAATCAAAACTAAGGTCAACATCCGTTAAGCTTTTAAGCAGAGGTGCTCAACAAAGCATAGGGGTTAAGAAGCCATGCAGAGGTTTTAATCTTTGATTAGCATTACCATTAGTAGCAACAGACTGGCAAACAGTATGGAAGAAAAATGGGCGAATGCACTTTGTTGTGGCCAAGATGAGCTGCATTAAAAGTATGGCTAGAGTGATTGTAGACTAACAGGTACTTAACCCCATAGTAATGTTGCTACAAGCGGATTGACTATGATGTAAAATATTTGCAAACACACAAGTTTTAGGAGTTTTAAGAACAATGCAAATAAAAAGGGGATAAATATATAGAGGGAGGGAAATTAAAGAATAGTACTACAAAAGTGGATTACATGGAGAAAAATTTGAAGAAGGTGAAGAAACAAGAAGGCAAGAAAGAGACAAAAAAAATACCAGTAGAGAGAGGGAAGAGAGGAGGAACCCAGATGACTGATCAGACTGTTAATTAGAAAAGAGAGCTGAACCACATTTTGAAACACACAACCAAATGGACACACAGAAACACATTCATTGCAATTCATCTAGGAAACCAGCTTCTAATTAACAGCAAAGTCTCAGCAGAGAACGAGAGAGGCTCACGGGTTTGAATCCCATAAGAGTGATCACACCAGATAATACAATAAACCAGAGCTAGTGGTTCAGAGATGTTTTTAACCGCTACTTTTCCATTTTCTGTTAGTCCACTAATTTAGACTAGTATTTTTTTTTTTTTTTTTACTAGCAGTCTGTTTCACTTCTGCTAGTGAGACATTATTGTTATATATGTATTATCAGTTAAAACAAAGACATATAAAATAATGGTATATTTGTTTCATAAGCGGAAGTACAATTTATTCTTGAATTAAAAGTTTCCCACAGTATCCTGATTTCCACAAATTTCAAACAGGCTGGACTTAAAATGTAATCACTGCTGAATAAATCACCAACAGCACTGTTCAAATAGGAATATCCACTATTACTTTCTTTATCATTTTATGAAGACAGTAAAATGATGTTAAGTCAATGTAACAAGTACATTTTCTCACGGTGAGATGAATAAAGTCAATCAATCAATCAATCAATCAATCAATCAATCAATCAATTAATCAATATATTCTATAACAAATGCTTTGAACGTTTGAAAGCAAATATATATATTATAGTCCCGATGTGTGTTTTTCTTCCCTATAAAGTTACATCATTCTTTAGGGGTTCTGGACTACATAATTTACCAATCTCTCTCTCTTTAAAAATTTTGTTAAACGCAAAGTAAAACTCTAGATAATTAGAGCAATTTGTCTCCAATAAACATATCAGTTTTTTTTATCCTATTCTTACTCGATAAAAGAACAAACAAACAGGCATTTCAGATCAAACCTTTAAGATAAAGCTCAATTCGGATTTCAATTTTTTTTTTTATCTTCGTCTTCCATTTTCTAGCATTTCTTACTGGAGGGGTAAGTCTCAGGACATTAGTGCAAATTTTCAAGGTCACAGACTCCTATATATTCACAATAAAAACACACACACACACACAAACACGCATGCACATAATTGCACACACATGCAGCATAACATGATGTGACAGGGACCTTACAGTATGTGTCTGAGTGCAAGGCCTGGCTGTCCGTCAAACACACCAACAGTTCAAGGCCAATGCTGCAGCACATATGTGACATTATCCGTTGGATACTTACTGTTAGAGTAAGTGTGTTTGTGAATGCATGTGCTCGCACACATGGGCGTAAAAAAAACAAAAAAACATCCGCCTGCCTTTTCATTCCATGACATTAAACCCAACAGGGTGTTGTCAGTAAACATGAGTGCAGTTTACATCATTGCTCTTTCACATCAATGGATAAAAAGATGTAAATAAAAATTATAATGTTTTCCATGCCTTCATTAAATGATTTCTATCCTACTTTTATTCTTATTTACAGGTCTAATAGAATTTGATATTCAATGCTATATGTTTCAAGTCATTAAAAATCAGGAATCACAATCAGTGAATCAGTTTCCTCTGCAAGGACTTTGATAATGGTCGCATGTAATTTAATATGTATCAAAAATACTCATATTAATAAAGATATTAGGAGGAATGGTATTAAATAGCATTACAAATAAAACCATACTTCTCAAATTGGCTTTATTTCAGTGTGCTTACCATCATAAACAATGTTATCTTCTAAAGAAACCAGATTATTCATCTCATTTGCTTTAAATATCGCTTGTTTGGCTACATCCTGTTAAAATGGTCATTGTCATGTAAATTAATTGCAGCACTGTTAAAATTACATGAAACATTCATATCACACTTTGGTTGCAGGGTTGTTTTGGTGCGGCTCTTAATACATTTTTCTTGCCTTATTACCTACACCACTAGGTATTCAGTTTAACTGTAAGGTTAATACTCTAATGTCAGGGTTAACATTTTTGGAAAAGTGTCTCATCACGCTATCATCAGACAGCATTATCATAGGCCAGTCTCTAAATCTGAGACATTGTTCTGTTTTTCTGCTATTATATTTATGTTTTGTTCTTTCAGTATTGAATTTTAATCAAGTTGGGTCAATGTGAGGAAATAAACATTGAAAATGGTGTCATTATTTTTTAAGAAACATTGCTTATTCCTTAAAATTCAATGGAGAAGAAAAATGTAAGCTGATGCTAGGAATTTAAGGAAGCTAATGATCTCCATGACAGCAAGGGAAACTCGCATGTTTCAGAGCAAGAAAACAAAGTAGCTTTAATGGTTCTGTTAGTCACCTATCCTAAATGCATGAACAAAACAATAGGAAAAATGCAGATCTTAGATTACAGAAGAGGCCCCTGGAACCTTTAAAATTTGAAGACAACAAATGTAAAGAAAAATAGGCCAAAAGAATGGATAAATACATCACTGTAAGATTTGTAGTAACCAAAATAGAATTTTGCTTTATTATTATTATTATTATTTTTTTCTTAATGGAAAATGCTGATGAATTTGTTTTGTAAACACTTTTAAGACAGCTCTCAATTTACAAAAAAAGAAATTGGCAACTTCTGGTCAAAGCTGCTTTAGACTGTTATAAATGTTTAGAACTTTTTATTTGTTTTAATTAGAATACAAAAGTGTTATTAGAAAAGTCATTTCAAGTCTTTACAGTTACAACAGACAATTAGAAAGCAACACATATATACAGTAGCAACAATTTACTGTATTATTTCAGCTTGATTGAAATCTTTGGTGTTGGATGGTTTATGTGTGGATCCTGGCTTGATATATATGCTCAGACTCCTCTATACGAAACACAAAGGGCACAAACTTGAAATGTTTGCAACTGTTTTTCTGCATCAAGTACTTAAACGTCTTATAGTGTTCAGTGTCCTTACACTTTAGAATAAATGGTGTTAAAATGAGGTGTTAAAATGGTGTTAAAATGAGGTGCACTCAGTAGAAGTTCCTCAAGGTAAAGAGCTTGTTTGAGATGTTTAAAGTGCTCTTGAATGGACTGATTTAAATGCATTTCTGAAGTCTGATCCTATATAAGCTTCTATCTGCTGAGCAGAGCTTTCAGTAAACAATACTAAAATTATCTTTACATTTATATAAGTAATATAATTTGTGACAATGAAAAAATGTTGTGAATTTTTTAGGATTCTTGCAAGTTACTCTTGTGATAACAGCTTTGTTGTTGAGCAGATTTATTTATTCTCTGATTAAACAAAACCTTTTACCCTATATATAATCACTTATTAAGACTTTGTGTGATGATAATTTTGAATATTTATGCATTAATTTATTTTTCTGTTGTTTTTTTTTTTTGCGTATGTTTGCGTATTTCTTGTGAGTATATATCTATTTTTTTATTTTTTTGATAGATGTCTGTTTTACTTCCCTTTAAGGACTAGCTTTTTGATAAAAAAATATAATTTTAAATCTGAGTTATGAGTCATTCTAGTGTTAACTGTATGTCACAGCTTTGACATCTGCAATACACCCAAATAGATCAAATTTATTTCAGTGAGAGTCATGGCATGACTTACTTCTGCAGATGGGTCTATGGTCGCTCCAAGCAGCCAGTGTGTCAGTGACTCGTTGACAGGTGATGCTTTTAGATCCATGAAGTACATAGCTGTCATCACAACTGAACTGGACACTTGAGCCAACCCTAGAGATAACATAAACAACAATTCTCAAATAGAGTGAAATTTCACTGTTCTACCTTTACAAAATCACTGAGTATGATTAACAGGTTTCAATAATCATTGGTAATGCTTCATGTGGTACTTTTCTATTTTTTTTTTGTTTGTTTGTTAGCCTACTCTATTCATGTCAAATATGTGCCTTCTCACTTTCCAAGAATTTCCCTTCCTGATGTCTGCCACAGAGGCAGATGTGGAAGTGAAAATGTATGACACACTATGTTCAAATCATGTCTCCACCTTGGTGACACACCACAAATTTCTTAGAGGATGATCACCTTATCATAACTTCTGTTTAAACAAAATAATTCTCCATTTCTTTTGAATAGATGGCAGGCACCACAATGTGACTCATTGTATCTATAATTTTTAGAAGCTAGACTCTCAGATAAAAACCATTTCTTGCATATCTTCATGTGTAGCCCCTGTATGACTGTGCCCTGGAGAGAGGAAGTGGGACATGAAGAAGCCCTGGAGTTTGACCTGAGGGTGTAGCTCAGCACAAGCGACGTGTGAACAGCGAAACAAGGCTGCCTGTATACAATTTTTTACAAGCTAATAAATTTTTAAAAGGGCTACAAATTATGTAGTATTGGAGGTATCAGCCATACATATTTGATACAAGGTCCCATGTAATTTCTATATCTTTTAATTATTGGTACTCACTAGATGCCATCAAAATATAGAAATTAAAAAGGCAGTAGAGAATCCTACATTCAGACTTTACAGACCAGGATGTGAACATGAAAATCTAAACATGACTGATCATACATCTTCCCAGAAAATAAATGGTATATTGTCTAGTTCTACAAATTGTGCAATAATTTTAAGAGCGTTTTTTGTTTTACCAGAAAGTATATTTCTAATATATATTTAAACCTTGAATGTCTGATGAAAAGCAAATAGGACAGATCCACCTCAAGCAAACAACAACACTTATATACTGTTTTTAGTTGAATAAGTCTAATAGATGAGGTATTTCTAAATATGTAGCAAGTAGCTGTTCTTCAGTGCAAAAAAAAGGGCTTCATTCATTGGTTTCCATAGAAAAATGTGGCAACATGTTTATAACTTGCCGCACACAAAGCTATCAGGGGTACTATGTGTAATACTGCATATTTCTTAACCAAATAACACAATAACAAACAAAATAGAGAATATCTAATATCAAATAACATTAGGTTTGATAGGAGGTAAAATTTTGTCATGTTATTAAATACAGCTTTCATAATTTCTCTACTCATCCCAACTTAATTTAATAAAGTATTATCAGTGATCATGTCTAATGAGAGGCTGTCTGTGTTCCTCCTCTGAAAGAAGCAGGGTCAGTTTTAGAGCATCAGAGAGTTGCTACTGGTAATGTTAATGAACTTTTCAGCTTTAACAAACATGATAGTGTTATTCTTTCTCAGCTCAGTGTCAGCAGGATTCTCTAATCTTTTAACTTCAGACTGTATCCCTGGTTTACTGCCACACTCTGGTGTGGGCTGTTTTTATTAGTTCCTATCACTGCTTGAAACCAAAACTCTGACAGTGTAAAAAGAAAACAGCAGACCCTCATCTGAATCTCCTGCTGGAGTTTAGGCTTTATGTTGTTTTGAACAAAATAAGATGTGGTGAGATAAGAGAGCTTAGACAGACTTTGGGTCAGCATGCTGGCCTAACAACTTAAGAATGTTAATTACTTACATGTAACAAAGTAAAGTGATCTCTACCTTCAACCCAGCAAGCCCAACTTTGACCGTTGATTACCTGTGTTTGTTGTTGTTGCAGCTAATTATTTCTGTCTTTAGGTGACAGTGACTTAACATCAAAAGACTAACATGCAACAGATCTTTCTCTAGAGGATTTACAAGGGATAAAAAATATACATTTAATCAAAGGTTCTTTAAGCCTCAGTGGTTATACAATATATACCAAATCTAAAAAAGAAGATCTAATACACGTCTACATCAAAACCTTGATTATTTTTATAACAGTTCAGAGTCAATTTGTTTCTCTGTGTGGGTTGCAAACATTTTACGTGGGTTGCAAGTGCAACGGTATGTAGATTTTACCTGCAGTATTTTGCATTGCAAAAAAATAAGCAGAGATAATAATTTTACGTGTCACTAGTCATAGCATTTATATCTTTAAATTTCAAATATCTTATTACTCACTACAGGTGATAGGTGCAAAATATACCAGTGTAATACTGCTCTGAAAGGAAAGAAACAAAATTAACTTACTGGAAGACTGAACCTATCCTCTTGCCATTTTCAGGGACTCCGGGATCTGGACAAACATCACCAGCAAGACCACTCTGGCTTACTGAAAAAAAGAGAAATAAAGTCCATCAGCAAAGGACAATTAGCCTACTATTTTATCATTGTTGTGTGATGCTGTGAAGAGTTGATCAATTTCAGAAGTCTATCAATACAAAACATAGGAATTCTAGCAGGCTCTGGAAAAAAGGAGAAAAAAAGTGAGTGACAGGAGAGAGGAAAAGAAGGGATAAATTGATTTAATTTGACAGTGAAGTGAGTGCAATAGTTGCAACTGAAAAATAATTATAATAATAAAACAAGAACTCTTGACAAGAGAAAAGTTTTATTCATATGTGATTTTATGCAAACTCCCCTAAACAAGCAATTAGCTGGAGACTATTATAGAATGTCATAAGATATTACATTTAAGTAGCATCAGCATCATAAACAAACAGCCATAGAAAAAATAAACCCTCAAGATGCTGAAGGATAAATTAACAAAAGAGAGATATTAAATCAGGAGAATGCATTTACTGTAAACTTACAGCCCAAGTGGAATGATATAGAAATGTTATTGACATATAAAAGAAACAATAACATTTTGTTTGTCCAAATCATTGTAATTTGATTGACCTTTGGCCGTGAATGCTTATGCATTAGTTGTATTCTTTACTATACAGTACACATGTCGTAAAATATCATTTCACAGAAATCTGAATTTGATTTGCAAAAAAAAGAAAAGGAGTATGGGCTATTTTAATAAATGACATCTCTAGACAAAAAGCCATTTTTCTTCCATAAGGAAAAAAAAAAAAGATTAAACCAGCTTATATATTTTATACTGACATTTTTGAGTACTTTTATGTTATTTTCAAAAGCAACCTTTTTCTAAACCAAATTGCTAAGTATTTTACACATAAGGAAATTGAATCTGTCAGTTGTATTGTTTATTATTATTTATATTAATAAGAAATCCAAAATGTTTATTTCAAACCATATGATTTAAATGTGATTTTAAAAAAAGATAAGCAAATGTATCCAATCTATTGACTTTGAGGAAAGTTAAAAGAAAATCACTTTCTCAATAATATGGCAGTACAAATACCGTTCACTGTGCATTCTGATCTTAAATATAGATGATTCATTCTGGTAAAATGGCAGCAGTTGGAAAGTGCATAGGTTTCTCTTAATGTGGTGCAGATAAAGATATATTTTAAAGTGTACATAGTTTATTTGTAAAATCAATATCATCAGCTTAGCAGCTCTTCAGCAATTTTACCTTTTTCTTGTTTTGCATGAAAAAATACTGAGTTGAGTTTGGTCAAATTTACAAAATTTACCAATGTTACTTCATAGTTATGAAAATCATTAGTCATTAAACATGTATATTCATGTCAATGTTGTATTACATAGTTTTACTTTCATTCAAGTCAGTTCAATTTTTTTTTAAATATCAGCTTTAAAAATGTTAATTATTTAGACAGGTACTTTTCCATAAAACTTAACAAGATAGCTAATATACAGAAAGATTCCCAGAATGAGCTAGACTATTCTTTATTCAATTAAACAATAGAGTATTATTTACTTCTTATTTCAGCTCACAGTTTGTTTCTTTTTTTCAGTAACAGAACGTTTTTTTTTTTTTTCTTTAAATAGATTTTTTGTGAGGCTGATAAATGTAGGAGGACTACAACAACAACAGAAAGACTTAAAAAATGAAAAAAATAAACTTGAAAATCAATTCCATAGACTTTGCATAAAACTGAAATGACACTGTATTAAGAGATCTGAAGAGATTTGAATGAAAGAATGCTTCTGGTTTTTTGTTGAGGTGTATCATTTTTTTCTCTGAATTGTCAGCTCGCAAAGAGGTAGATTTAAAACAGCACAGATGCAAAACACATGATAAATTGTATCCACCTTATATTCAGGATATTGCATTGCTTTTAGAGCAGCTGGGAGCACCTGCGGCATGCCGAACATGTAATGTGAATGTAAATTAGACCAGACAACATGACAGAAACCAGTTTAGACCAGTTCTGTCTAAACGGAACTCTGTGGATGAATAATATTAGTTAGAAAGACACAAAAAAGTGATGGGAAATGCATGCTAAAAAGACTGACCATTAGGACAAAGGGGAAAAAAAACATACCCTGCAGTGGTTTAAAATGACCTGAGATAGAAAAATATTCAGCCTGTTTGAACTTCTTTTCTCCCTCTATCCGGTCCTTTCCTATATCATTTCCTTCATTTCTTTTCACTCAATCCCTCTTTCTACTTCTGCATTCTCAGTGAGCTCAGACTCCTTCTCCCTCTAACATTAGCTGCAATTTACAAAGGGAAGCCGAAGTTTTGTGCATCGCAGCATAAAAGATGGATGAATGATTTGCTGTGTTTGTGTGACTGCATTTCGTGTGAGCTCTGGGCTTTGAGAGTGTATAGACATTGTGTGTGCATGTTTGTGTGAGACATGATGCAAACAGAACAAGCTGTCTTTTTGCTCGACTGTGTTTTTGATGTTCTGTCCAAAAATCATCACACAAACATTCAAATACACACTTTCTCTTTCAGCATCTCTCACTGTGCTCGTTCTATCTCCCGCCCATGTTCAAATGGCATTCATTGGCATCAAATACAAGGTTTATATTGCAGAAACAAATCCAGCTCATGAAAACAACATGAGATTGTTACAGAAAAAAGATGATAAATATAACTTTTGGGTTGATGTCAAAAATGCTCTTACTGACTTAATCCCATATTTGCACTTAAAAGACTATTCATCATTTAAACACAGGCTTATGATGCACATCATCCTTTCCATTTCATCAAAGTGTCTTCAGCAAACGTCTGTAAAAGTCAGCTTTTTAGGAATTTGTGTAAAATAATTTATCTTTGGGGATTATGTACACTACCCCTACTCTGTAGAACAGTGGCTCCCAACAGACACTCCTTTCCTGCATATTTTAAGGCCAGGTCTCACTGGCTGCATCTGACTCTGAAAGTTCTGATCTGTTTTTCTCCTGTGTTTTCCTGCTTATACTACTGTATGAAGGATAGGGTGAGCAGATCCTGAACTGTGAATGACTGTGGCACATTTTTTCGCCTCTGTGAAACAAACAAAATCCCACATTTTGAATTGATCAAATTATAGCAGTGCCTAATTTCACAACCAACCTGTACACCATGTCCTTAGAGGAAAAGTCTGGTCACATTCAGAATACAAACTGCTGTTCTTTAGTCCTGTTCATGCATATCAATCAAAATTCAGCGCTATGTTTCCTGCCCAAGTCTGAGTGCCAAAGACTAAGTAATTGTATCAATCCATTTTTTCTAATTGTCTTTTCTCTTCATGTGATGGAGATTGAAATGCATTAAATCACTGTAAATGTATTAGTTTTAGGTATAAATAATGACCCATTGGTTAGTCATTGCTGACCAGACTTTTTCTTTAAAATAGAACAGGAAAAGGATCTTAATGTATGACATGTATGATGCAAAATGTCTAAAGAGCAGAAAAAGTCACAACAAAGGCTGTGTAAAGGTTTCTAATGGGGTAAGATCAGGGAAAGGTGAGGCTCAGAGAGGTATGAGGTTTGCCCAAGTTATTTTTTTTTTATTTCATAAAAGGGGAGCATGATAAGCTATATTCATCCCTTAATGTTTTTTTTTAGCTCAAAGATCAATATTTAATTTTTTTTTTCCTAAGCTCCTTTTATTGTAAAAGTAAACTGTTTATTGAAATGTTTTTTTCTTTTTCATTTTGTATGTCTGCATTTTCACACTCACTAAATACACACAGTGGGTTTCAAACAGGGTGAACCTGGCTGTTTTAGATATTTCACTTTGTGTTTAACCTTGCAACCATTTCTTTCTTCCTGCCAGATTCATAAAATTGTCACTGAATTGCAGCATAGGTTCCACCATAATAGACCAGTGGTCTACCTCGGCCAGAGCCACACAGGCACAGTTGCAGAGAATTGTGTGCAGTTGGACCAGCCCCATGCATTTTCAATAAGCTCTGAGTTGCAGCTCTACCTCGTATGATCTGATTTTCTGTCAGATCAGACACCAAACTGTGTCCTGGGTCTTCTGGCCTTCAGGTGTCTCTTTGCTGCCACACACCTGACATAAATGAATGGGTGATTAACAGGCTTATGCAGCCCTTGATAGAAAACAGAGGAGATGCAATTATTTTAATAAGATATGCTGGAACAGATACACATTTAAAATATGCAGGTCAGGGGTCCCTAAAGACTAGGGTTGGGAACCACTGCTATACGAGCAGCGGTTGTCAATGTGGGTGTGATGACAATACTACAGGGTCAGTCTCAAGGTGGTGTCCCCCTCCTCGCTGTGTCATTTCTGCAAAACCATTTTCATACTGCAGTCCTCGAATCCCTATGTCATCCCTTTTCTGTGGGAAACATTGTAGGGTCCACAGTCTTTTCATCAATAAGGAATTTCTTGACAATAAAAGTCTAAAGAACCCCGCTTTAGTAACGTGGCAATAAATAACCCCCTAATGCTATTTCTAACTTTTCATAACAGAGTTCAGATAAAGTAGTTTGCATCAATTAATGTTTTTCCATCAATGTTTTTTTTTTTCTACACATTTTGAAACCTTGCATTAGAAGAGCTTTATGGAAACAGAAAACTAAGGTGAAATAACATCCTAAATATAGATATGTAGACACCTCATTCTGTGCTGGAAAGCATTCTGTGTCATCGTATGTCTTATCTAAAATAAAAAAAAAAATGGTATATAACAAAGAGCAGTGAAATCGGGATATTCTTTATAGGTCAAAAATGCAGCATCTGAGTTTAGAGAATATACATTTGATTTTCTCATATCCTGTGTATTTTGTTATGTACTTGTTTTGCATGTTTTCCTTACAAACATGGTCAAAATTTGTCATAAACCTTGTTTAAAGGAAAAGTCCGGTCAGCAAGGAATAAGCAATGGATCATTATCTAAACCTAAAGCTAATATGTTTACTGTGATTTAAGGAATTTAGCGTTAATCAGTAAAAAAAAAAAAACATGGATGATTAAGAATTTCCGAC